AAATTAAAACATCAAGCATCTCCGTTCCTTAAATGAAAAATATACTAGGTATGCGTCGCGACGCCAAAGCGCGCAAATTGTTAATGTGAGTTTGTACCTATATAAAAAAGGAAATTAGTAGCATAATAAATATTTTCTAAGTCTCCTACATGGGTTTAATCTAATATAAATTAGTTCGACGTTCTTCAGTATATGTTACACAACATAAAGTTAATGTGACAGATCAATACCCGCTAGGCGCCGGTTTTATCATAATCATTACAAATTTAAAATTACGCTTCTTTAGTTTATATAGAATCGCAGAATATTATCGTACATTTACCGAATAACCCAATTTTTTGTTTCGAAAGAGACAACCACCTGTCATACTGCACAGGGCTGAGCCTCCAGAATATTGATTTTCTCAATGGCAATGCAGATATTCAAACCGACAACAAAATTTCAGCGAAATCATCCATAAAGTCGAATAAAATACGTTTACGCATTAAACACATGCAAGCGTCGCGGGCAAAAGCAAGTTTATTTTCGTGTATTAGCTTGAAGTAAAGGTTTTTTATTCTGAACCGTCCATTGTAAGTTTGCGCTCGCGGAATCATAGAAATATAAATGAAATGGCTTCTACTCACTTTCCTAGTTCTTCTTTCAGATCGTAATTGTCGCTGAAACGCGTACATGCGAGAGGAACTGCCATAATCACTCACGTAAAATCTAAATTCTACTATTCGATCTATTAGAAGGAAAATGCACAGACAGAACGGTACGTCGAATGTACGGCCTGTCGCGCACCACTGTCAATTGTTATGCTACCCATAATACACAGCAGGTTCTGGACATAGCGCAGGTCACTTTGAAATATCAACCTGTCTGCTGCTTCGGTTGCGTTGCCGATGTTATTGGTTTTTCATTCAATAGTTGGAAAATTGTTGTGTCTTTCTTGATTCACAGGATTAATAATTAGTTTTCGGTTTTCTAAACAGTTGAAGGAAAGAGAAAATTTGTATTTTGAAGTATAACACAATGATATTCTATTTTTAACACTCAGGCATTCGTCATATTAATTGAAGTAGATATAAATTGTTTTTATAGTTAAAATAAAAATCACAAGAACATTGAAAATATGACTTAAATGGGCAAAAGGTAGTAATTTTTTGGATAACAAATTCATTTTTTAATTGAGAAATGTGCTTGTAACCAGATGCGCTGTACTCAGGAGGGTTCTAGATGCCAGGCGCGAAACTGCAGGGGGCCTATGGGAGCCAGCCCCCCAAGAGGTCGCTAGACTTCCTAAATTAATTTAAAGCTTATTTTACAAAATCCGCTCGAGACTTTTTTATCATTTGTCTAATATACATATAACAAGTTTTTCATTTTATACAGGATGTAACAAAAATATGTATACCTAGTAAAGGACCCCGCACACTGCTTATGGAAAAGTGGCGACCTGTTAAATTTTTGTTGTAGTTCTCGAACTCTTAAGCAATAACGTCCATGGGACCATTCAAATCCTATGACTGGTTTTTGAGATACAGGATGTTAAACTTAAGAAATACCACTTATTTGATAACAGTTATTTCAGGAGAAAGCTAATCGATTGTAATTTTTTGTGCAAAATCTTATTGTAACATTTTTTTGGCATTCTACGGATATAAAAAGGGGGTCAAAAATTATTATCCTTTACAGGGAGGGTCACAAATAAGTGAGGACATGTTTTTGATAAATACTTTTATTGTTCTAGAATGGGAAAATATTTACTAAAAAATAAATAATTGCTATATTTATCATGTCTGATGATATTGCTGAAGATATTATGTGCCATTTATACAGGGTGATTCGTAAATATCGACATAGGCCAATATATTTTATTATAAGTATTATTGTAAAACGCAGTATTTTTACGGGACTTTTGTGTATTTACGATATGTACAATTATCCTATTAATTGACTACAGGGAGGTTTAATAAATATATTGATAGTTACTTAATAAATGTGTCAAAAAAACAATTTTTTTAAGCACCCTATATATTTTGATTAGTCCTCTAAAAGTATACATATTTTTTCACTGGCCTATCATCCATTCTGTAGAAAATATTTTCCAAAATTATAGATTTTTTTTATGATTGGTTTTTGAGATACAGGGTGTTAAACTTAAGAAATACCACTTATTTGATAACGGTTATTTCAGAATAAAGCTAATCGACTATAATTTTTTGTGCCAAATCTTATTGTAACATCCTTTGCTATTCTACGAATATAAAAACAGGTCAAAAATTATTTTCTTTTACAGAGTGAGCCACAAATAAGTAAGGACGTGTTTTTGATAATTACTTTTATTGTTCTAGAAGGTGAAAATATTTACTAAAAAATAAATTATTGCTATATTTATCATATCTAATGATAATTAATACAAAAATATTAGGTGTCATTTGTACAGGGTGAATCGAAAATATTGACATAGGCCAATATATTTTTTTATAAGTATTAATGTGAAACGCAGTATTTTTACGGGACTTTTATGTATTTACCATCTAGTAATAATTCATTTTCTTTTATAAGTATATATTTTTACTATATAAACAATAAAAAAACAATATCCAAAACATGTCATTCGATAGAACAACTGTTAATATATTTAATAAATTACTCTGTAGTTCATGAAAGTGATAGTTATAAATGTGTTAATAATTCAATACTTACTTGTATAATAATACACTACTTATTATTTTGTATTAGGCATAGTAGTACTTTTACAGCGAACATGTGGCAACTATGATATCCCTGCTATCGCTCTCTAGCTTTGTGCCTCACATTCGGTTCGGCTAATATCCCACCACCATATCTTCTAATTCTAGTCGTCGACGATGATTGGGTGTTGCCCTGCTGTTATTTTATTCACTTGTATACTGGTCGTATGTGTAATACGAAAAAATAAGTAAGGTACACCAGGGTAAGTGAATTTTTGGGCCAAGTCTATTTTAATTGAATAATCTTCAATGCAGTGTCGCCATCTCCCGACTAGACTCCTACATATATCTCCTACATACTGCAAGTCTACATTGTCTACATTGTATACAGAGGTAAGGTAGCACGTGTTTTTACAAAGTGCATCAAAAATCGCAGAAGTATTTGGATATATAAATATTTTTTTCAATAAACATTTATTTGCGTTTTGAGTGTGTTGGACGTGTATTTTTTATTGCTAAAATGGCATGGGTTACACTTTTCAAGCCTATGCTATAAATGTCTGAGAATATCACTAAATTTTGCCAAAATTGCTCGATAAAATATACTTGAAACATTGAGGAAATTTTATTTATTTTTGTTGGAAAATAACGCAGGTTCCACTAACCCCATATATAGGTTCCACATATGGGGCAAGTGGGACCTACCGTCCTTAGTTGGTTGTTTTAATAGGTGTTTATTTCTTTGTTTCAGAAATGGTTCGAACCTACTTTCGAAAGAAAATAAATACTCTAAGGAGGCGCTAGATAGAGCCATAAATGCTGTAAGAAATCAACACATGTTTGAGATCCCAAAAACACTTTTTAAACATGTGAATGGTCAAAGGGGTGTTAAAAGTAGAACCTATGGTAGACCTATCTCTATTCCTTGTGAGGAAGAAAAGAAAATACATAAAACTTATGGAAAAATGGGGATTTAGGCTTTCCAAAAAGGAAGTGTTGTCACTCATTGGCCGATATGTAAAAGAAAATAATATTCAGACGGCATCCCGGGTGACGACTACTTCATATGATTTAAAAAAACTTTTAACCTCAGCCGTAAAAAACCGCAAATAGTAGCAGTAGCAAGAACAAGAAGTGTAGATCTGTTCATCATCAATGATTACTTCACCCTGCTAAAATCTGTCATAAAATATGTTCCCCCATCAAGAATTTATAACATCGATGAAACAAGTTTTTGCCTAGATCCAAGCAGAATTAAAGTTGTTGGCCAAAAAGGTACAGCTGCTCATAGGGCAACAGGTGGATCTGAAAAAGAAAACATCACCGTGATAATGATATGGGTGCATGGGAATGCTGAAGGGGAAAAATCCTCCACATATTGTATTCAAAGGAAAAAATGTCTGGGATAAATGGCTTGCGAAAAAGGACGAGCAATATCCAGTCTTAACTTATTCTGCTACAACAAATGGGTGGATGGAAGCAGAAACCATCGAAAATTATTTTAAAAACAACTTTTCAAAAATATCCCACTCGAAAGACCAGTTATTCTCATATTTGATGGGCATAGTTCCCATGTTGCACTTTCACTGATCGAAAAGACAAAGGCAGAAGAAATTGTCATTCTAAAACTTCCTCCCCACTCAAGCCATATACTCCAGCCGATGGACCTCAGTATCTTCCGGCCCCTAAAAATAAAATGGGATGAAGAGCTCGTAAAATGGCAACGAAAGAACTACGGCTCTAAACTTCCAAAAACGGTGTTTACAGCTATTATATCCAAAATTTAGAAAAATCTGGATCTCACGTTGATTGAACCTGAATTTAAGAAAGCAGGAATCTATCCGTTTTGCAACACTGTTGTACCTATTGAGAGCTACGAGCCACCAGCTTACAAACGCTGGTGCAAAACTGAGGCAGGCGAAGAACCACAGATAGCTGCGACACCTACAACAACCGCGAATGCAAACGAAAATTTAGCAATACCGTTGATATCCGCGGAACCGTCCACATCTACGGAATCATCGACATCCACGGAAAGTGAACCCCCAGCAACTCCAAACTTTCAGAAAAAATCTTTCGAAGAACTGCTGTTGGAACAAATTAAGCAAGCACCAAAAGTTTCTACAAGCAGAAGCAAGATCTGCAGAGGTGCTGAAATGATCACTTCTGAAGAAGCTAAAGGAAATACAAAAAGAAAAATTAAACAAGAAACCAACAAAGAATAAGAAAAAAGAGACCATAGACAGTAGCAGCGATGATGAGAACTTATAAGACTTGAAAAAAAGACTTGAGGAAGAAAAATACTACAGAAAGAATAAAATGAAAAAAATAAAAGTTTTAAAAAAGAAATTCATCTTTTCAGAGGATTATAGTAGTGATGAAGATAGTTTTGGTGATTTTCATAGCACTTCCTCTGATAATGGTGAAAACAAAATAGAAGAGATGAATCAGGAAATCGGCTTCTTAAATCGAATGCAGTTGGACTTATCAAAACTAGATGTTGGTGACTGGATTGTGGTCAAATTTAAGCAGAAGAAAGCCATAAAAATGTATATGGGACAGCTGACAGAGAAAGAACCATGCCTGGTGACAAAATTTTGTTGCAGATTTGGTAAGACGTCGAGCTTTTACTGGCCTGTTGTTGAGGACAAAAATATCATAGAAAAAGATGAAATCTATACGCATTTACCTACGCCGTTCATAATTAAAATGAACAAAATAATATTTGATAGCTTTAACATAGGCTAAATGTGTTATATATTTTTTGATATTAAAAACGATAAATCTACCAATAATTCATTTTTCGGGAAATATTTTCATCCTACAGACAGACCAATGAAAGAAATTATCAAAAACATATATATTTTCTTATTTGCGACTTATTCTATAAATGAACATATTTTTTACTCCTGTGCATATTCATCGAATGCCAAAAGATGTTACAATAAAATTATCCACAAAAAATTGTAATTGAGTAGCTTTTTCCTGGAATAACAGGTAACAAAAAGGGGCATATTGTATTTGGGCACCAAAATAATCCCCTACGACCTTTTATAAATCCCTACTTGAAATCGATCCTTGATCTGGGCACTCTACCCAAAATTAGGAAATTAAAAATCATTGATAAGATGTAATTTGGTCTATTTATTATGGTCTTGTTTATAATAATATCCCAGATATTTTACATATCTCTTAATTTTATCATCTATAAAATTAATTCTATTCAAAAGTTTCACATCTTTGACTCGTACAGGTTTATTAATATTAATACTATTTATTTTAACATAGGTATCAATCTGGAACATTTTTAGCCCATCAATAAATAAATGAAGAGAAGGATGCGTTTTATAAAATGAAGAATTAAATCTAGCGTGAAAGGACTCGCAAGTATTGGTTGTACGTTGAATGCTGCTTGAAAAACTTGCCCAAATATTTGGTGGAAACAACGCATAATCACCAATATAATTTGTTTCTAGATAATCAGTAAATTGAACTACTTTAGGATCATCTGGAAGAATACTCGGAAACTTCCACGGGTTCTAAAAACTGTAAACCAAAGACATAATTCAGCCATTTTCCTATATCGGAGTCTGCCTTTTTGTATTCCGATGATAATCCCAGTTGCTGTATTTTCCTATACCAGCTTTGCCCTAAGGTGGAACCGACATCCAACCAATTCTACTTCTGGCCAAACATCTGTTAGAGCTACATGGATACTTTTCTCAAAATCAGCCACTACAATCTTAGGTTGGAATGTAAGTCCATTATCATTACATTTTCCTACAATAAGAAGTATCGCTTTCTTGTACGATGCAATTAGCTTATTGGGCAATACACAAAAAACTAAAGGAATATAATGTTCATCAGAAATGACATGCAGTGTAAAAAGTTGCGTAAAATAATTTAAACAATATCGGAATGTTCGGTCCACATATATATTCTTTGAATTGCATAGAACCGACAAATTTGTATCACATGAGAATACAATTATTTTATTGTTTCTGAGTCACTTTTTGGTAGGTATTCTTTCATAATATATATTATTCCTCAAGCAAGCAATATCCTTTTTGGTCAGCGTGTCCAGAGAAAATTTTCTACTGTCAATAGCCGTCCTTATGACTTTGGCAGGTTTCTCAACTAGATCCTCTGCTGCACGTTTTTTTTGCAATTGAATTTACTACAACAAACATACTTAGTAGTGGATACAAAATACGACAAAATAAATAGGCAGTATAATTACAAAGTATAGAAAACTTACCCATTAGACGATTTATCATTCTCTCGGAGCTGTCATGGTTGTGATGTAGTTCACTTCTTGATACGATTTTTTCATCTCCACTGCCAACAGTCCAAATTTTAGCGCTGCAAGTTCGCTTGCTACATCGCCAAAAATACCGCTTTTTAGTTCCTTTTGAAAAGTGAACTTAAAACTGTAATACACCAAAAGAAGTTTTCCGCGGATACTAGTCATAGTTTGGACATCCATTTTCAGAAAAGAAGGTGGTCTTTACCATATCGCAAACAAAACGCGACTGATTTCATCAAAAACCTATAAACGATGTTTACCATTCCATCCCTTTAGATTATCTAATTAGTCTCGTTGAGATGGATTTACCTACCTATTTAATATGTGATTCTCGGAAAACAAGTCATTAGGTACCTATAAAAATCTAATTATTAGATATGTAGTTACATTCTAGTAACTTTAATCACAATATAAACAAATAAAAACACATTAAGATGTTGAAAATAAATGTAGTATTTTAACATTATTTAGTTTCGTTGAGATTATGCAATTTACGTTTTTAATGCGTTTCTGATTATCACCAAATATGTTAAGTGTATTTTTTTATGCGTCCTTTTCCCAACTTATCTATGTCGGACATCTCAGGTAGAGGATTAACAAGTGTGCCCAAATCAAGACTTCCTAATTTGGGCGAAATGGAGGACAGTGCCCAAATCAAACATATTACTTTCAGCACAGGTACAAAAGTGCCCAGATCATGACTGCCGACAAAAAGTGGGTATTTCTTAAGTCAAATGATATATCTCAAAAACCTATCATATTAAAAAGCTGTAATTTTTGGGAATTTATTTTCTACAAAATGGTTGATACACCAAAAAAGAAACACCTTTATGGAACTAAAAGTACAGGGTGATTTATCAAATTTTGTTGACACACTCGATAAATTAACTATTAATCTATCTATTAAATCACCACGTAATTAATAAATAAAAAACGGAGTTTCAAAATATTAAAAAAATCGAATCAGTCTGTATAAATGACACCTAACATCTTTTGTATTATCATTAACAATGATAAATACAGGGTGTAACTAAATAAGTGTAAAACATTTAAGGGGGTGATTCCTCATCGAAAAAAAGATAGGATCTTTCATATAAAGAAACTTCTTTGGAGCATCCCTTGTTAATATACAGCCCCTTAAAGGGGGTACATAAAATTTGTTTAACAATTTTTTTCACAAGCACTAAACAAGTTACAATATTGAAATTAACCTGTCATTTTCTACTACCAAAAAGACACTTAGCCAGTAATTTATTTGGTTTACCCCATGGTTGTAAGGGGTGGAAAACACAACCCCTAAAATTTCGTTCCAACGTAACTTTTTATCTTATTATTTTTGTTTACCATTTAAAATTTTATTTCCGATAGCCTGTTTCATTCTAAACAAAAAATGTCTCTTGAATTTTTTGCCCAAAATAAACCAGTTCACAGCAAAAAATTACTTTACGAACAGCTACAGAGATACATCGTCATAAATGCGAACTGGATTTATTGTTATTTTGTAGTTACTACCTACATTAAATGATTAAAAAGGGGAATAATCAAAACTAATTTATTAATAACAAAACATTCAACATGTAGAAATCATAGTAAGTGTTCAATATGTCTACCTTCAGACATTACGCATGCGTCTAGACGTCGGCGCATTGAGCCACGTATTCGCTCAAATAATCCTGGAGTATCTCTAATTACCCTGCACGCATCGATGATGCGGTTTCTTAAGTCCTCTACATCGCGAACAGGAGTACGATAAACCAAATGCTGCAAATGGTCTCAAGTAGAGAAATCGAGAGGATTGAGATCCGGGGATCGAGCGGGCCAATTCTGTGGTCCTCCTCGACCTATCCACTGATTTGCATAAGTTTCAGTTAAATGTTGACGTGCTACTTGACTAAAATGGGCGGGAGCCCCATCATGCATAAAAAACATATCCCTTCTGACGCCCAAAGGAACTTCCTCCAGCAGTACGGGATGCACTTATCTTAAAAATTGAACGTATGCCTCACCATTTAATCGAGGAGGTAGAAAATGAGGCCCAATTAAATAATCACCAATAACTCCGGCCCACACGTTAAGAGAAAAGTGTTCTTGATGGTGAGTTTCGACAATAGCGTGGGGGTTTTCATTAGCCCATATGTGGTAATTATGAAAATTAATAATCTTGTCCCGAGAAAAACTACATTCGTCTGTGAATTCGATCGTCTTCAGAAAGTCACGATTTCTTCTAATCATTTCCAGCATCCAATTGCAAAATTCAAGAAGGTTCGGAAAGTACCGCGGTAACAGTGCCTGTACTAGTTGCAGATGGTAAGGGTATAAGAAATGTTCCTTTAAAATTCGAAATACCGTCAATTGATCAACATTTAGCTGGAAAGCAATCTTTCTAGTACTGGTAGTAGGTTGTTCTTCAATAAAATTAAGTAGTGCTTCCTCAAGCTGTGGTGTTCTTACTTCTCGATCACACCACAATCGTGCGTTCTTTTGTTGAATGAACCATATTCTCGTAATCGTTGATGAAGTCGGGCAAATATTCTACGTGAAGGATGCTGCCGTTGAGGATACATTTCAGAATATCTTCTAGAAGCTTCTAACCTATTCCCCTGCGACAGACCGTAAACGTAATGCAAAACAGCCATTTCCTCATTTGTGTATGCCATTTTAATAACAAGTGAATTATTAAAGTAACAAATTACGAACAGAACAACAATACACAATTAGTATTACTTCAATTTCAAAAATTTACAAACTGACAGCTTGATTTCAATGTAATTGTCAGTATCGCTAATAGCGGCCTACTAGATAAATTAGTTTCGTATTTTCTTTTCATGGTGATATCTATCTTGTTCGTAAAATAATTTTTTGCTGCGAACTAGTTTATTTGGGCAAAAAATTTAAGAGACATTTTTTGTTTAGAATGAAACAGGCTATCGGATATACATTTTTTAATGGTAAACAAATAATAAGACAAAAAGTAAACCAAATAAATTACTGGCTGTCTTTTTGGTAGTAGAAAATGTCAGGTTAATTTCAATATTGTAACTTGTTTAGTGCTTGTGAAAAAAATTGTTAAAAAAATTTTATGTACCCCCTTCAAGGGACTGTATCTTAACAAGGGATGGTTCAATGAAGTTTCTTTATATGGAAGATCCTATCTTTTTTTCGATGAGGAGTCACTCCCTTAAATGTTTTACACTTATTTAGTTACATCCTGTATAGCAATAATTAATTTTTTATACATATTTCCAACTTCTAAAACAATTAAAGTAATTATCAAAAAACTTGTCCTTACTTATTTACGATTCACCCTATAGAAACAAATATTTTTCCTGTGTATATTCGTGGAGTATCAAAGGATGTTAAAATAATAGTAGACACACAAAATTATAATTGATTAGCTTTTTCCTGTAGTAACTGGTAATAAAAAAGGGTTATTTTCTAAGTTTAACACTCTGTATCTCAAAAACCAATCAGAAAAAAGCTATAATTTTGGAAAATATCTTCTACAGGATAATTGATACGCTAGTGAACAAATATGTATACTTTTACAGAACTAATCAAAAAATATAGAGTGCTTGAAAAAAATTGTTTTTCTTTTGACACATTCGACAAATTAACAATCAATATATTTATTAATTCACCCTGTAAGTCAATGAATTCGATAATTATACATATGGTAAATACACAAAAGTCCCATAAACATACTGTGTTTCACATTAATACTTATAAAAAAAATATATTGGCCTATGTCGATATTTACGAATCACCCTGCATAAATAGCACCTAATATCTTTTGTAATAATGTATAGCAATATCTTTTTTTAGTAAATATTTTGACCTTCTAGAACAATAAAAGTATTTATCAAAAACATGTCCTTACTTATTTGTGGCCCATCCTGTAAAAGAAAATAATTTTTGACTCCTTTTTATATTCGTAGAATGCCGAAAGATATTACAATAAGATTTTGCACAAAAAATTATAATCGATTAGCTTTCTCCTGAAATAAACGTTATCAAATAAGTGGTATTTCTTAAGTTTAACAACCTATATCTCAAAAACCAGTTATAGGATTTGAATGGTCCCATAGACACTATTGCTTATGAGGTCGAGAACTGAAACATATCAAAAATTTATGACATTTAACAGGTCGCCACTTTTCCATAAGCGGTGTGCGGGGTCCAAAGCCACAGTTTCTGGGGTCAAAAATAAGTCGATTTAAACTAACTTGTTTAAATAAAAAATGGATAGTAAAAAACTTATAGGGGGTTAAAGTAGAAATTTTAAAAGTGTTTTTTTGCTCTTATTCTAAACCTATTTTCATGAAAATGTATGTTTATAGGATATAAGTATAAGTATATAGCCCAAGAGCCCACTGCAAAGTTTTACCGTCATCTGATAACGAAATGAAATATACCCCCAAAAGCATGTAAAAACATTGTACTTTACCAAATGGCACCTGTGCCTATCCCAATCCTAAGCAAAGTGGCTTTAAAAAATCACTTAGCCAGAGCAGGAATCGAACTCACGACACGTCCATTGTCGTTCTGGGCATTCAAGCGCTAGGCGACCTCAACCAAGGAGTCACTTGAAAATGTTTTACTAGATGGGGGAGAGTGGGACACACAAGACCGGTGGGGCATAAAGGACTTTGGTTATATTTATGCTATACGTGCTGCCACCTGGTCGGCTTTACACTATCTTTCTATCAGTCTATTAGTCTATGATCGCCGATTCGACAACTCGTGCAGTTTTGTGGCCAAAAGAGTGATTTTCAAGGTATGTGATGTAATATTTATTTATTTTTATTGCCTCGTAAATAATTTAAAATTGTAATGATGTGTTTACGTGTTGCATGCATTTGAAACTCCCATTAATAAGGTCTTATAAGGACATGATATTTTCCAATAATTCTACCTATAGATTTCATAACCTATAACTTCGTCTGAAGTTGTATTCGGGGCAGAGCGGACCAACATCTGGTCCTCTGTGACTCCTCTTGGTCCTGCGTGCCCCGCTAAAGATAATTCTTATATCTTCTATTTCAGATAGTACGTACGTATAAAAAAAAAGAGCCTGTTCCAGAGTTGACTATCCAAGATGTTGAAGCTGCCATCAGTGCTGTAAACAGGAGTGAATTATCCATCACAAAGGCAGCCAAGCAATATAGTGTCCCGAAAACGTGTCTTCTAAGGCGTATTAAAAGTAATAATGTTACGCCTCCGCGAAATGATCACTTTAAACAAGTATATAGAAAAAGAATGTCTAAATTATTGATGAAGGGTTGCCCTGCTGGAACTGTGGGATATGCAAATAGTAGCGGATGGATGGATGGATAGTGAGCACTTTCTTAAATATTTAGAACACTTTGCTAAACACGCACGTGCATTCGAAAATAGAAAAGTGTGGTTGATATTCGATATTCACTCCAGCCATCGCAACCTGGATGCCATTTTAAAGGCCAGTAGTTTGAATAATGTGATGATCTCTCTTCCTCCTCATACAAGCCATCGTATGCAGCCGCTTTACTGTTCTTTTTATGGACCGTTAAAAGGACAATATGCGCGAGAATGTGATAATTCTGAATTCTGAAAAAGGTAAGCAGGTTATTAGAAAATGCTTCTCGGCTTTTGGAAAAAAAAAGTCTGGAAAGTAGCCACGGTTTACCAAAAAAGAGAAAGAAACTTCAAACACAACGGAGGCTGGATGACGATTCTAGCGAATCAGACGACGAAATTAATCCAAAATGCATATATTGTGTTGGAAAATTTTTAAAGTCCAAACCTGACGAAGGGTGGATTCAATGTCAGTTGTACCGAAATTATTGGGCCCACCAAATGTGTGCAGGTGCATCAGAAGATGACGATCAGTTCTTATGCGCATTTATGTTTTATTTTAAATATAAACCATTATTATTGTGTTTTGTGGTTCGTTTTTCAATAAAGCCTGTTTTTTATCATCATTAAATTCGGAATTAGTTTTTTTACATACAAGTAACACAGCGGTCCTTTGTGTCCCAAGTTATGGGGCAGAAACGACCGAATACATACAGTCAAACTTTTCAAAATAGAATCAATACCAAGTAAGATTTTGTACAGGTATATGCATCAGTCGATACCACATAGGTGTAGCCCCAGTATCTTACATAGTGAAATTGTTATCAATAGTGATAAAGGAGTATGACTACTTTTGGCCTTAAGTGGTCATCTGTGCCCCACTCTCCCCTACGGTTATAATAGAATAAAATGTCAAACTTCCGCTAATAGAATGAAATGTAATAGTTAATTTGTCAATTTTTAATGACCAATTCTATTAAAAATATATATAGATGGGTATTATCTGGTAGGCTAAATAAATAATGACCTAAGATGGACGTCTATTGGACATCAAAATAATACTAAACTTAAAATAAAGTCCAAAAACCGACGTCCTCTGGGCATCGATATGCAGCTGTCAAATTAATGATCATAAACGGACGTACACTGGATGTCCGAATACGGATATGGATCTAAAGTGGACGTCCATATATAGGTTGGGGAGGAATACACGATAACTTTCTGAATGATGTTCATGTGGTGCAAAAATGGATTTTGCGTATTATCTATAACAAAGATATTCAATATTCTAGTAACTCCTTGTACAACGAATTAAAAGTTTTTGATTTAAGACAATTATATTTTTTTAAAATTCTTCAATTTATAAAAACAAAAAAAATTGTTTTGACATCACATGAACATCAGTATAATACACGACGAGTAGAATCTGTTTATTTTCCTCGTAGTGAAAAATCTATAGGACAACGTACATGCAATTATCTTGCACCAAGAATGTATATTTTAGTCCCAGAAGAGATACGAAATATACCGTCTTATAATGTATTCAAAAAACATCTAAGAAACTGGATTCTTCAAGAAGACCGAGAAGAATTTACTAATGTTATAAATAATTACCTATCGTAAACTATTATATTCATTATCCATACTTTTAATAACTGCACTGATTTTCCGATTAATTTCTTTAATTTCCTAAAATTTGTAATTTACTCACCCAATAATAGGACTTGTTCTTCTGATTACGACCTATTTCTCGATTATGTCCTCTATCTCGATTATGTCCTCTATCTCGATTATATCCTCTATCTCGATTACGACCTTTCTCTTCCCGATTTTGACCCTTTTCCAAGTATTACATTATATAAATAATTTAATTTAATTTTTAACATTTTGTCTAAGATACAAAGAAACTGATCCATTGGGCTTATTCATTATTTATTAGGTCATATTATTATAGAATTAATTTTTGATTAAATTTTTTAGTAATACCTACCACGTACAAGCTGTCCATAACAGCTTCTGTGTAGTTCATGTTTATTTTGCTTATCTTTAAATGATATTTTTTATACATTATATTTGTTTTATGTGAATAAACAACATTATTATTATTATTATTATTATTATTATTGGACAATGCGTGCTGTCTGGGAAGTGGACGGTGCTTTCTTAAATTGAAATTTTTGCGATACTCGTATAGTTTAAAATTTTAATTGATTTTTGGCTTATTTAAAGAAATTTGAGTTACAACCTCACTTTATTATATCATAGCCATATTGAAATATGGGCCCCTTCACTGTTTTTAAATATGGGCTAGGGGCCATTAGAGTCACGTTACTTTAATTTACTTTTTTGCTGGTAAAAATGCCTGGATCATCCAAAAATAGAAAAGATGTGTTCAAAAATGTAACAAAAACCTGAAGCAAACGAAGCAAGAAAACGCTGCAACCATACTACAGATAAAACGGATTTAACTGAAACATCCAGTAACTTCAACAATTCTTCTAGTTGTGAATTGGAATTAAACCCACAAGAAACCACTTCAAAAATTTTTATTTTTTTTTTGTTGCGCAAATGTTTATTTTTTTGCTTAAAATTTGATTTTGGTATATGTCCCAAACTATCTGGTCCGGTTTACCAAATATACATTTTTTCATTTTGTCTAGTAAAATTTATTTATTTTAGAACAAAGTATGAATGTTTCTAAAAATCTCTTACTTAATGTAGTTACAAGATTTTTCACTACATTATTACATTCTCATTTTTGTCAAAACACGTCAGAAACTTCAGAAAATAAAAAAGGGGGCCCATATTCGGACCAGTTCCTCTATAGATCATCCATGAAAAATAATAATAATCATGAAAAAATATTCAGTGGTTTAAGTCATGATACTGTTAGAAGTTAAAAGAATTAACTTCAAAATTATTGTTTTAAAATGATTTATCACCCTGTATACTATAAAACCCTGTAAAGCCACTTCACAAAACACGTGTTAACATAGTTTTATAATGTTTTATTAAATATCTCGTAAACAATGTTTAAAATGTAATTAATTAAGGAACAAAATAAAGAATGTCTTTTACGGCATATTGCCTGTCACTTCCTAGCGTTCGGCTAGTCGAAAGTCAAGTCCCCGCTCTCTCCTGGTCCTGGACACTGCAACGGGCAGACGTGGTACCTTCGACCCCAGCGGCGGTGATATTCTAATTCACTGACTCTAACAGGGCAGACGTGGTACCGTCGACCCCAGTGGCGGCGATATCCTAATTCACTGACTCTAACAGGGCAGACGTGGTATCGTCGGCCCCAGTATCGTCGGCCCCAGTAGCGGCGATATCTTAATTTGCTGACTCTCACAATACTATAAAAAGAAGGTATTATATTACGCAGATTGATACTAACGTATTTGACTCATCAGCTGATCGGAAACAGCGTGCAAAAATAAATTTTAATTCGCTCATGACCAATCAGATAACCATATTCCACACCACATTACATCATGCGCGAACTCGACGAGATTTCGTCGGCTAAATATTATACCTCTGTTTTTTTTGTATCATGAGTTTAAGTAAGATCAATAGAAACTTGTTCACTTCCTTCTGGCGCCTATAACTCAGTAATTACGGCTTTCACAAACCAAACAAAACATTTCAAAACAGATGAAGGATTTCAGTGGCGTCCTGTTTTAAACTGAATTTCATTACCTAAAGAAAGTAGCAGGTCCAAGGGATGCAGAATTAATCTAAAAACCTAGAGAAATAAAACCAAACTAACTCCATTTTATAAGTCACTGTATACTAACATTCCAATTACATTTTTATAAAAATATGTTAAGTCGTGTTAAAATACGAGCACAAAATCAGTTCTAAAATGTCTACTTTTACACCCTGCAACTTTTTTTGCTATCCCTTTTTTATATAAGTAAGTTAGCTTAAATCAACTTATTTTCGACACGAGAAACTATGATTACATTTACTGTACATCTTTTTTTTCATGCCCTATATATTAATCACAGTTTTTATTTGGTAATAATTATTAAAAATATTAGAACGTCTTAATAAAAAATTTGGCATTTGTGCCTTTTACAGTCAACATTTTGTTTTTTAAAGATTCAATTCACAATAACAGGCCCACCGTAGCCCCTCTTCAGGTCCGATGCCTAGTAACGCCCTTGCTGGGTGCCCAAACACCCTTATAGATTTTTTTCGGAGCCGGCGGTACCCATAGCCGAACGACTTCAAAATTTTCAAAATAATAAATGAATTATAAAATGTAATAGAACATTATCCGTGTAGGATGTTTAATAATTCTCCTGCCTGACGGTAACCCAAGATATTAGACCATTTTATGTCGATTTAAGATAAATTACCTTAATCCAAAAATGCATCGATAACTAGAAAATGATAGTACTTCAAAAGACTAAACTTTGCATATGTAATCTTCTAAATTTTATTTTTCTATTAAAAACAAGGAGCTGAAATAGGGGTCAACAAACAATTTCAATTATTTTTTTATCTTTTCATTTTTATATAGACATTGGCGGCGGAAGGGGCGTGTATGGGGGCTAAGCCAAGAAAAATGGATTTCCAGTGGCGTCTTTTGAAGGCCGTATCTCCGTAAGGAGGGCCGCTAGAAAAAAAAATTATGGAAACTTATCATCTAAGTTTTCAATGTTCTATCTGAATCCGAGAGACCTCCCACATTATATGGAATAGACGGATAATATGGAATTTTCCATAATTTTAAATCAGGTTGCTCCATCTCTTAAAGGGTAGAAGTATCAGAACCCCTTTTAGAATTGTAGGCTTCTGCCATAAAATAAAATTGCCCCAAAATGTGAAATTATGATTTCCATGTGTTTAAAATTTGTGCACGACCTCAGTTAAAATCGTTTTGTGACTACATTTTGAGAAAATAAATTTGTTTAAAAGCACGGTGAGATTGTTTAGGCATAAGATAGTGGAAATCTTGACAATTTAATTCAATATTTTTCATAATATCAAATAGAGCACTAGTTTTGTGTAAATTGTAAATTGAGTATAATGTTATTGAAATTTTTACTGTACAGAAAGTATGGCTACTTCTTTGCCGAAAACAATGGGGTGCGAAAGATAAACTATTAAAGTATTCTGCGCATATTAGCCTATTCTATATTACCCTATGTGACCATTCCATATTACCCTCCATTTTTTTATTTTCGAACAAAAATGTATTCTTTTGTAAATATAATTTTTTAATTACCGAATACGATTTTATTTTTAATTTAGTTTTTGTCACTCTTTGGAGATACTTAGAACTATTAAGTAATGCAATATTGCAGCTCCAAATAATTTAGTCTGTACGTTATCACTCTATAAATAATTGGTATTCCACATATGCCGACTTTAAGCTATCTGTAAACCGTCTTAAAATAATGTAGTCTTGTTTGAAATCGCTATGACGGACGAATAACCGTTTTGGAGAAAATCTAATTTAAACTTTTTGCTTTTCTTGCAATTAAGAAATTATTTTATTAAAATACCAAATTAATTTGGGCAAAACAACAACATTTGACAAATGTACGTTGCAATTAGTTTTAAAGTGAAACAATGAGAGGTAATATTTTAATAATCACCAGATGACGTTCCTGTAACGTCAGGTCCAGAGATAAGGGAGATAAAGATAGGAAACGCTCATAAGAAGCCAAGCTTAATAACGACCAGCTTTAACGCAGTTAACATCTGACCCACTATGTGGTGCTGTCATCGATATCAAACAAATATTGCAGCGGGAAATTTAAAAATCTGATAATTAAGGTTTTATAAATTTCGACTGCACTCTCACGTTCTGGTAAATAAATTTAAACAATGTAATTACGGTAAATTATTTATTAAAAAAAATACTACACTTACAGTCTATTATCGATTAATTATTGTAAATCTATTCATGACAAATATGCTTTAATTTTTGATCGTTATAGGTAACATTAACATTTTTGTTCTTATTTTCCAAACGAATGGCCAATGGTGTCTTATTTAAAAGTATCTAGTGCAAACTCAATAATGGGAATTCAGATATTTTTCTTCCTATATAATAATAATATTTATTCAGGAAGCAGAATCCATATACATAAAATAGTGAAACACAAGAAGTTTTAACAAAAATACAAGGATTATCTACTATACTGAAAAGGAATCGTATTCATCGTAGCCTATCAGAAGACAGACTAAAATGGTTTTCAATACGCCCGGTCAAAATTAATAGTTTAAATATAAACACCCCTTAAATGTAGTACATATATAAATACATAATGGATACACATAAAAAAATGAAAATTGTAATTAATAACAAAGACATCATAAATACCTACCTAGTCTAGTAGACGATATCAAATCTTCTTCCTAACGTTTTGAAGCCATTTTCTTGCTCTAAAACAAATAGTAAATAAATACCTACTTTGTGACAAAAGTTGGCTACTACTTGTGTAACTTACATGACTAGATCTTACTTTGGTTAATTAAAGAACACCACATTGGGGTTGATACATTTATTCATGTGGCATGTGTTACTAATGCAATACGTTCTCCGACTTGTTATATTACAAAATATATTTATTGTCCTCAAATTTCACATAAAAACAGCTACAACCATTTCGCTTAGTTAATCTAGAAGATAACACAATCGTGAACTCAAAATTTAAAATTCAAATTCAGGATTCTATGATATACATACAACTGACATTTATATTTACAAACTGTCCGCGTCTACTGTCTGTCTACAACCGACGTGTACCTTTAGTTAACATCTGAGAAGCATAGAAGACGCCATCGTTACTGCGGTCGCTGCGTTTCCTATCTTTATGTCCCTTATCTCTGGTCAGGTCTACGAAACGACCTGTCAGAAGACTTTTTTATTTTAAAATAATAAGCTCATTAAATTTTATTTTATTCGAAAAATAAATGCTTCTTAAGCATGTAAAGTGGTACCCCTATGACCAGTGGCGGGGCAAGGCCTAAATTTGAATTGTGCAAAATAAATTTTGCCCTTTAG